TGCACATAAAAGGATTTGAATATTTTACCTTCATCTTTGTGTCTTTCGAAATATAATTTGGGTATTTTAAAATTAGAGTCAATATTCTATTTCAGAGACTTGTGTTACAAAGACCATATACTGCTTTATTACTAACTATCAACAGGTGGAATACTATTCAAGTACAATTTTGACAAAATTAAAAATAAAGTACACATTACTCTGGAAAAGTAAACTTCAATGTATTATTTCGATATGAATATAGCCTAAGCTTGTGATTAATTACATTTATGATATAAAAAAATTCAAACTTATTTTATAAAAGCCGTTTTGTGAGTTTAAATTCATCACATTTCACACACTTTAGAATATATTTGTATTAACCGAATCTTTTTTATTCATTGTTTTATTATGTTTTGTATTTTAATTACAATAGATATATTTTAATAAAAGCACTAATGTTACATTCCATTAGTCACACCATTCCAGGTCAGTGACAACAAACAATGCCTGATTTTGATATAATAATTAGTATATTTAAATCAAATAATAAATTATATTAAAGCCTTCACTAATAATAATACGATAACAATAATTGGTTGAGTGGATATATTTAAAAACATTTTAACAAATCCTAATAGAATAATTGCAACGGTTAGTTTGTCTATGTACGTTGTACAGATTTTAAAGTATTATTTAAATGTTTCTACCTACAGATAAAAAATATCTGTTTTTGTATTATAGTTACAATGGTTGAAATAGTTGATGGAACAAAACCTCGACAAAGACTACATTTTTTTGTCTCTGTGGGGACGGATTCACCAGCAAAAGCTAGTAATTTATATATGTTTGATATTACGCGTCACAAAATTTTAGAAGGATAATAAATTTTGCTTATTTAACCTAACATTTGCATTGCAATTTAATTTACAATATTAAACATGTACAAATACAATCATAACATTTTATAATAAAAGTAGTAATAAACCATTTTCGTAGCAAAAATTAAGATTTTTGATTAAAGTGTTATTCCCATGAGTTGAATTTTATATTAAGATAATAACTACATAGTTTATTAAATTTAAAAATCCACAAATTATTCAGTGTTACGTAACGAAGTTACTGGCATGTGTGAATCTTTTTATCTACTATCCATAGGACAAACACGTCCTTCAGCATTTTGGAAAAACTTGACATTCTTTTACTGCTGGACCCATTCTAACCAAATAAAGATAGGAACATCGCAGGCGAAACTGACTTTCAAATAAAAAAAACCGTGTCGAAATCAGATTGAGACTTATGATTCCACAGAAAGAGACACACACACATACACATACACTTACACATACACACACAAACATACACACAAAGACAGCGACATCAAACATTTATCAATCCGTTTTTGAGTTGTGAGTTCAAAATATAAAAACAATATATATTTTTAGACAGTCGGATTGCCGTCATAAAACTTAAATGAATGTATTAATACATGTTGTTTTTGTAAACAAAAGTGCGTAGACCTGCTACACTTTTATACTCTGTAACTCGTAGTGACAAAGTTGTGTGATTTATTATGACAAGTTGAGACCGTGATATATTATTGTATTTTTGCTACTTTGTTACGTTATCGAAACATATATTAAGAATTTTACGTACTGGGATAACACTGTTGCATGAATAAAATATGAAGACTGAAGTTTCTAACTTAAATGAAACACTGGCAAAACCCATAATGGTCAAACCTATAACATTAATAATACTTTACTGTCCTATTATGTGGCAGTCTTTTTTTTTGGTATATTTTAATTATAATACAATCTAAGTACCTTTAATTGTTCTCTTTTAAACACTGGCTTGCCGTGGTCTGTACTCTATATATACATACATATGTACGTAGTTTATAAAATTTTGTTACCATACATAAATGCTATACTTTGGTATTTTTTTTCCTAAGTTAAGATTAAAAATGAGTATATGAATTATTAATAATATTGTTCAGATAATGTAGGAACAAATTGGGTTTCTATGTAATTAACATAAAAATATAAAATGTCTTACAATGCTATGTAGCTGTTACATGAAATGAAAACATTTATTGTATTCTTAATATTTAATATGACTTGTTTTATTTAATTATAAATTACATCTTATTTAAGCTGTGAAAATTATGTAGCTTATGTAGCAACTGCAAACGAAAAACATTCTTCGTTTATAAAAATTCCAAGCAAGTTCCAAACTAGTGCTAACGTTAATTACAACACAAAGTGGAACTGAAATTCTCCACAATTTAAGTGCACCAGCTCATTTGGTATTCCCATATTATTTCAGAATAATTTTCAAGAAATGTGAGGCCGTTGTTAAAGTTTTGTTCAGAACGTTTTCAAGCAACTCTTAGATTTATATAAAAACAAAAGTAAAAGTCACTTTTACGAAAACTCATTAAGTTCTATACAGAATTTTAAGAACTCTATTAATATAGATGCTAAGATAGTTTATCTATAATGCAGTAATTGAGTACCAGTTATTAGCTCTTAACCTCTAAGGAATTCTTATTATTTTCGTATTACTTTTTATTAGATTATTTACAATTAACATTGTAATAAAATATAAAGTAGATTTCCAGCTACCAAACTGATAGGCATTTTTAAGTGCAAATAACTCAATTTTAAAGTTGATTACTGGATATAACGTTATGTTCCATTTATCCAAAGTGACTACGTTAATGGAACCTTTTAATAAAACTAAACCTTGTTTATTAAGCTGATAATTGAGGACTTTTTATAGCAATTTTTTGTGGATAGCATTACAAAGTAAAACAAACATCACTTTTATTGTAAACAGTCGGTAGATAGGATAAAAGTAGAGTAAAATCAATATCAGATATTAATATTATGCACATATTATGGTTGCCAAAGAATGAATAACATTTTTTTTCCTTTATTAATGAACAAAAAAAAAAAAACATTTTAAAATATCAAAAATATGTTTCAACTAGATAAAACTTGCCTTGTTGTCGTGTCAAATGTATAAATATAAGTATAAAATGAATTTATTAAAGTCTTACTATAAATTCACAACTAAAAAAGACTTTCTTTGTCATCCAGTCGAATCAATCTTACAAATAACAACTTCAATATACAAATACTTCAACTCACTAACGATGCTAAAGATTGTGAAACGACGCTCTGTTTAGTCAAAATTATATATACAAATATTTTCTTAAAGACTTCCTTAAAACATAATAAAAATAAATGTATACAATATATAATGTACACAATATACATCTAATAACATGTAACAATAATAGTATAGAACAGATGTTAGTTTGTCATTAATTTTATCATATTTATCTTTTCTTCAATTTCAATATGTAATTGTTAAAATATTTAAAAAAACTAACATTTTGTGTCCAAAACTTATCAAGTACCTTCGTCATCAGCCTATTGGTGTCCGTTGCTGGGCAAAGGCCTCTTCTCACACGCAGAGGGAAAACATTAATCACCACGCTTGCTCATGGCGGATTAGAGATTTAGAGTTTTCCCTCACCGTCTGTGAGTAGTGTCAAAATAATTTAGAAAGTACACATTGATTCGGAATAAGTCACATTATTACTTGTCCAGGTTTCGCATCGGCACCCTTATGCATTGGGCACTCTCATACCTCTAGGCCATCTTAGCTTTTATCAAGTACTTTATGCTTACTTTATTCATTAAACAGTATTACCGATGAGTGCAAAGTTAAAATTGGCATTTAAAAGTTTTATTTCATTTCAAGTTATTGGATTGCTTATAAGAAAAGGTTTTAAAATAACATTATATATAAACACAAATAAGTCATTGAAAATTTTATTCAAAAGATGAAAACTTAATAGTGAGAGTATAAGAGAAAAAAAATATCGAAATGAAAATAAAATTATTTATATAATTCTGGTAAATTAAACTCGAAATAAATAATAATACGTAATGACAAGCAAGTATATACAATTGGAATATTTCATTGGAATATTTGAAAGGAAATGATGAACTAAGGATAATGGATACAAATAAAAAAATTGATGCCTCTTTATTAAATGTCAGTTTATAAAACTAAATTACTGTCTTTGATAGGTGAGCAAATTTTATTGCTGTTTAATTTATTTTAATAGAAGAAATGTTATTCCTTCATGAATTAAGTAAATACAGTCTTACCTTAGCAACAACTTTTAATTTGTAGTATTACGCTCTTAAGGAAGCTACGCTCTTAGTCTGAAATTAAAATGTATTGGTTTATTTTTTCTACAATATTTATTTTTAGTTTAAGTTTTGTTATTTTGTATTTATAAGACTACCTACTGCAATAACCTTAAGAAAGTTAGGTTTAAGCCCATCTTCTATGACTAGTATACCCGGAATTATATATGGGCATATAATTATTATTGTTTTCTAATTCAATGCATTTATATTTATTTTATCAAAGGAAATTTCCCCTAATACATTTTGCTTTTGCTGTCAAAAGTGTCGTTATTATGTTTCCGCTCGGATCAAAGTTGATACCATAAATAGGAGGTCACAATGACGCCTCTATACGTATGGAGCTCTGTTTGTGTCGTCATGTGTCCTGTGAGGTAATTTTATTACTGTGATTTTTTTGGTATTTCCTTTGAAAAGAATTATGTACTGTCTCCATTGATAAAAAACAAAATCAATAATATTCTTCTGTCTGTTAGTAATAAACATGTAGAAACATTGAAATAATACTAATAATTTCGGATTTATTGTGCGTTTTTAAATATTTAACTCTATACACCCGTGGTTTTTTTTTCAATGAATACTTGCGAAAGTTTTATATTTCATTATTTAGAAACATAACTTTATATAAGACAAAAATGAAAGATTGTTTAAAATAATATGCAACAAGAAATACTTTGAAGGTATCTTTTTTTATTTTCTTATGCATGCAATGATAGAATGAATTTTTGAAACGCTTAGAAGCTACGGACACAAATTAAAGTCAAGATTTGGATCGGTGAAAAAATGTAAATTTTAGATCATACCAATCTCAATATGATTGAGCATTCTTGAGACGAAACCTCTTAGCATTCGATGGATTCACCGTGCGGGTGCCGGGTCCATCGCGTTGCAGGGAGAGGAGCTTCAACAGTGCCTGGGACTTGCGACCCAGGTGTAGGTTTAAGGGGCCCCTTAACTAACGCGCGTTATACGCTCACCTCCACTGTCCAAGTTCCTCTCCCTACCTAACCAAATTTGAAAAGAACCTACTAGGGCTGCCTTCGACGTACGTTCTAAGAATGAATTAATGTTAGTTCTGGACAGGCCCAAGTCTTTTAGTAGGTTATAGAGAGATTTAGCTGTTATACCTCTCGCTCCCACCTCTACCGCGTACAAATCAACGACGAACCTATTTCGAGTTAGTTCGTTAGTGAGCTCGTAATACTTATTGACCTTGATGGCATGGTCTTTGGGGATGTTGGTTTCCCAAGGCACCGTAAGCTCTATCATCACAACGCGCTTTAAAATACGCGAATATAGAAATATGTCTGGTCTGGAGGCCGACGCACAAATATCCTCGGGGATTTTGTATTGTTTCTCATACGTATCCATCATGATAGTCCAATCCGAAGCCGCTTTAAGGATAGAGTAAGGCTTGACGTTTGATTTTATAGCCCTGGTGCCCTCTCTCACAAAACCTATTGATCGCTCGTTTGTGGTTATTTCCCTTTGCGCTCTGGCTACCGAAAGACTAACCGCTTCACGTATGATCTCTAAAACCCTATCGTGACGACGCGAGTATTGACCGCTGTCCAGGAGAACCTTACATCCCACCAGCAAATGCTTGGCAGTTCCAACTGCCTTTCCGCAGATATAGCAAGTTTTTTCGGTACCTTTACCCCATCTTACTAAATTACTCTGATCTGGGAGAGTCATCTGGAACGCATTGAGATAAAATTTTAGCAAGGCTGGCGACCAGTCATGAATTAGGGTGCGCCATTTTAGTGCTAGTGGAATGCAAAAATCTCCTATGTCTAACCAATCGTTCTGCATTTCTAAACTCATTGCATGGATCTTGTATTTATCGTTCTCGTCTTGCCGAATAAAAGACTTCAATATATCCGTATCTTGGACTTTCCTACTTGATCCTAACCCTACTCTGTTATTTTGCGCTCCGATCATAAATTGTTTATGGAATTGAAGTCGTGACTCTAGCTCTGGGGCATCATTGTCTTTTGGGAGTGATGTAACGACGTCATCATGGGATTTTCCCAGGATATGTCTCTTGGAAACTCTTAGGTGTTTGTAGAGCTCCGATGGTCTTTTTAGATTCATCCCAAAACTATTACGATCCCTGAATAAAGCCGATGAGTCAGCCGTTAGCGCGAGCCCGAGCCACAACTTCAACATCTTTATGACGCCTGCATCTAATTTAGATAAAAGGGTTTTACTAAAATCATAGACGAGGAAAGGCCAATTCAAACGTGAAGTTAAGTAATTATCGTAGATCCATGCTTTTTTTACGTTACTGATCTGCTGGCTATCTACCTTGTTGAGATCATTTAAAAAGCTATCTACTATTCCTTCTAAAGATGGAGTACGACCTATATTATCAATCTTACGACCGAGAAACTTGAATGGTGCATTTTCCGTAACCGTAGAAACGCATTGACCGCCTATCGATAGTCCCGGATCGTATGAGGTGTATCTTGTATTCCGCCTACCAAGACACAGACAGTGACATTTACTTGGTTTTGTCCTCAATCCATCCGTCCACTCACAGAATTTATCCACTTCATCCAATAGTACTTGACAGTGTTTGGGGTGACGTGTCAGTATTGCGAGATCGTCAGCGAAGGCTAAAATGGATTCCGTGTATTTGTTATTGAACTTAAACCGATACCCCCATTTTTTCTCATTGCTGATAAGTTTATCTACTAGGATATTGATTACAATATTAAATACTATTGGAGATAAACAGCACCCTTGGAATAGTCCTACATTGTAACTCAAACTTTTTGAAGGGCCTTCTTTAGTTATAATAGAAAACTTTAATTTTGAGTAATACGACGCAATCATATCGCTAACTAAGGGTGGAAAGTTATACCATCTAAGCGCGAATAGCATCAACTCGTGTTGTATCGACCCGAACGCGTTCTCTAAGTCTATCCAACAAACTGTAATTTGCCGCTCGCTTTTTCTAGCATCTTTCAAACTCTCCGACAGCAAGGTGTTGTGTTCTAGGCATCCAGAAATCCCGGGTAGAAACCCTTTCTGGTGATTTGGCCTAAAATAATTGTTGCTGAGCATGAATCGCGTCATTCTCGTTTGTAGGACCGAGAAAAAGATTTTAGATATTGTATTTGTTAAGGCTATCGGTCTAGTATCTTTCGGATCGGTAACTCGATCTTTTTTGGGAATGAGGACAAACATTGCTTTCCCGAAACACTCCGGGTTTTGCTTCCTTGACCAGATTTTGCCGTATATATTTATGAGGTGTTTACGAACCGATGGACATTTTTTAAAGACTATATATGGGATACCATCGGGGCCCGGTACAGATTTAGATGATTTCCTCTTTATGTGACTACTTATTTCGTCTAACGTTGGTGGTATGCCGTGAAAATCGATATGAGGAATTTCCGGTTTTTGTTCGTTTGGATCCGTATAGAGCCTTACACTTTTAGGCACTTCGTATGTGCTCTTGAAATGGTCGTAAATTTGATCGTTGGTCAAGAGAAGCTGTCCGCGTTCTTTCTTAAAAATGGTTTTCGAATACTCAAAAGGGTTTTTATCAAAATCTACTTCCTGTTTGGCCCGGTCAAAATTACCGCGATATTCTGCAGTTTGTGCCGATATTCCTTGAATTAATTTAAGGATTGACCTTAACGCCCTAGCTAGCTGATGACTAAGGTGGTTGTCGCCTAGAGCTTTGGCTATACGTAGATTTTTTATTAATTCCCGTTTTTTCTTCCTCATTTTTATCTTGAACGAATTTTCTTTATTTTTGCGAGCGTAATGATTACGTGGTGGATATTGCTCGTTGAAGTAGTCATAAACGGTATTTTGGAAAGTTTCTACCTGCGAGTTCAATTCCTGCTTCGAGCCCGGATGCTCTAACAGGACCGCTAAATTGTCGTCGTGAACTTTCCAAGTCGATTGTTTCATGTTAGGAATGCTAAGACGTGTCCGGATGTTAATGGACTCCTGGTGGTTTCCAGTTAATGGTTCACCATGGGATACGTGAGGGTCAACTCTATCCGAAGTGATAATTGAAGAACTTACCAACGATTGTCGCGCTTCAACACCATTATGTGTTTTTAGGTGTTTAATGTACCAGGCTCGTCTCTTGTAATTTTTCCCGCACGTAGGGCATTTCAAGTCCGTATTCGCGCCGTTTTCGCCGTTTAAATCGACCGGTGGACAGATCTTCCGCCCCCCCTCTCGGACTGTCCCAGGGGTATTTTTCTTTATAGGACTTTTAGCTTAATAAATCCCGGGCTGGGCTTGCTAGGCCGTTGCCCTCGGCTGTCTTTCCAGCAGTCATCCGTCTTTCCGGCAGTCATCCGTCTTTCCGGCAGTCATCTGTCTTTCCAGAGTCAGCCCGACTCTCCGGGCAGTCGTTTTATATGAGACGAAACCTCTTAGCATTCGATGGATTCACCGTGCGGGTGCCGGGTCCATCGCGTTGCAGGGAGAGGAGCTTCAACAGTGCCTGGGACTTGCGACCCAGGTGTAGGTTTAAGGGGCCCCTTAACTAACGCGCGTTATACGCTCACCTCCACTGTCCAAGTTCCTCTCCCTACCTAACCAAATTTGAAAAGAACCTACTAGGGCTGCCTTCGACGTACGTTCTAAGAATGAATTAATGTTAGTTCTGGACAGGCCCAAGTCTTTTAGTAGGTTATAGAGAGATTTAGCTGTTACACCTCTCGCTCCCACCTCTACCGCGTACAAATCAACGACGAACCTATTTCGAGTTAGTTCGTTAGTGAGCTCGTAATACTTATTGACCTTGATGGCATGGTCTTTGGGGATGTTGGTTTCCCAAGGCACCGTAAGCTCTATCATCACAACGCGCTTTAAAATACGCGAATATAGAAATATGTCTGGTCTGGAGGCCGACGCACAAATATCCTCGGGGATTTTGTATTGTTTCTCATACGTATCCATCATGATAGTCCAATCCGAAGCCGCTTTAAGGATAGAGTAAGGCTTGACGTTTGATTTTATAGCCCTGGTGCCCTCTCTCACAAAACCTATTGATCGCTCGTTTGTGGTTATTTCCCTTTGCGCTCTGGCTACCGAAAGACTAACCGCTTCACGTATGATCTCTAAAACCCTATCGTGACGACGCGAGTATTGACCGCTGTCCAGGAGAACCTTACATCCCACCAGCAAATGCTTGGCAGTTCCAACTGCCTTTCCGCAGATATAGCAAGTTTTTTCGGTACCTTTACCCCATCTTACTAAATTACTCTGATCTGGGAGAGTCATCTGGAACGCATTGAGATAAAATTTTAGCAAGGCTGGCGACCAGTCATGAATTAGGGTGCGCCATTTTAGTGCTAGTGGAATGCAAAAATCTCCTATGTCTAACCAATCGTTCTGCATTTCTAAACTCATTGCATGGATCTTGTATTTATCGTTCTCGTCTTGCCGAATAAAAGACTTCAATATATCCGTATCTTGGACTTTCCTACTTGATCCTAACCCTACTCTGTTATTTTGCGCTCCGATCATAAATTGTTTATGGAATTGAAGTCGTGACTCTAGCTCTGGGGCATCATTGTCTTTTGGGAGTGATGTAACGACGTCATCATGGGATTTTCCCAGGATATGTCTCTTGGAAACTCTTAGGTGTTTGTAGAGCTCCGATGGTCTTTTTAGATTCATCCCAAAACTATTACGATCCCTGAATAAAGCCGATGAGTCAGCCGTTAGCGCGACCCCGAGCCACAACTTCAACATCTTTATGACGCCTGCATCTAATTTAGATAAAAGGGTTTTACTAAAATCATAGACGAGGAAAGGCCAATTCAAACGTGAAGTTAAGTAATTATCGTAGATCCATGCTTTTTTTACGTTACTGATCTGCTGGCTATCTACCTTGTTGAGATCATTTAAAAAGCTATCTACTATTCCTTCTAAAGATGGAGTACGACCTATATTATCAATCTTACGACCGAGAAACTTGAATGGTGCATTTTCCGTAACCGTAGAAACGCATTGACCGCCTATCGATAGTCCCGGATCGTATGAGGTGTATCTTGTATTCCGCCTACCAAGACACAGACAGTGACATTTACTTGGTTTTGTCCTCAATCCATCCGTCCACTCACAGAATTTATCCACTTCATCCAATAGTACTTGACAGTGTTTGGGGTGACGTGTCAGTATTGCGAGATCGTCAGCGAAGGCTAAAATGGATTCCGTGTATTTGTTATTGAACTTAAACCGATACCCCCATTTTTTCTCATTGCTGATAAGTATATCTACTAGGATATTGATTACAATATTAAATACTATTGGAGATAAACAGCACCCTTGGAATAGTCCTACATTGTAACTCAAACTTTTTGAAGGGCCTTCTTTAGTTATAATAGAAAACTTTAATTTTGAGTAATACGACGCAATCATATCGCTAACTAAGGGTGGAAAGTTATACCATCTAAGCGCGAATAGCATCAACTCGTGTTGTATCGACCCGAACGCGTTCTCTAAGTCTATCCAACAAACTGTAATTTGCCGCTCGCTTTTTCTAGCATCTTTCAAACTCTCCGACAGCAAGGTGTTGTGTTCTAGGCATCCAGAAATCCCGGGTAGAAACCCTTTCTGGTGATTTGGCCTAAAATAATTGTTGCTGAGTATGAATCGCGTCATTCTCGTTTGTAGGACCGAGAAAAAGATTTTAGATATTGTATTGATTTTTAGATATTATATTAAAGCTTATAAGACGAAAACAATACAAAAAGAATTTTATTTATTTATTTCCTTACACATAACAGCATGTAATTGGACAAGAAATTATTACATCTTACCATTTTAGCTACATGTTTATTATTACACAAATAAACAAAAATTGATATTTCCTCATTTCTTAATTATGACTTTCATAATAATATAAATATATCAGAAATAGTATTTAAAGTAGTAGTAAAAGTAGTTTTTTGTGTATAATAACAAACATACTTACTTTCTTTTACAAACATACTTCCCTAAATTATACAAGACCTAAAATATAAATAAACAATTATAATATGTACCATATAAAGCCAAGTTCACATGAAATACGAATGGATCTTTATAATGAAATAAACATAACAGAATCAACAGGCAAGGACTGGCTAACTATTGGTAAGGACAGAGATGAGTGGGAAATACTGGAGGAGGCCTTCAACCGAAGAGGGGTCCACATCCAAGAAAAGTAATTCTTACTAACACCAGACATTAAAAAAATACATAACAAACACCATATTAAGACAAACATTTGAAATGGAATTATTAATCAAAGATATGGAATTAAAGGCTTTTATATTTTTATTTTATTTATTTAATTGGATAAAGATTTACCTCAAATATACAGAAAAAAATGAAAATTTCAACATAAATAATAACCTACTTCATTTGTACATTCTTGCATTGAGTTGTATTAAAAGTACTCAATAGTTTTGGTTATCTCCAATTTGCTATTATGATTGTTTTGTATTTGCTGTTATAACAATGTGTACATAATTTTGCACCACAAATGTTTCTAATTCGGTTGCGGATGATTTATGGCAAAACGGCGCTTAATTTGTTTTGCTTGACATCTTAATAATGAAATCTGGGATCCTTAAGGGAGACGTGTACATTGTTCACGCCTGTTATAAACTTTGTTGGCTTAATAATAATAAAATATTAATGATGTTCTACGCCTGTTTTTAATAAGCTTGACTTTAATTCCTATAAAACATATACCATTCATTGTCTCCTTTCATCATAAAGAAAATCATTAAAGGTTATGAAAAAAGTTAAATAAAAAGTAAAAAACACTTTAAGTTCGATGTCCAAATTATATAACAAATGTAATACATATATCTACGTATCCCGTCAGCAATGCATTGAATATTAGTGCGCTTGCATGTTATTAGTACCAAAAGTTTTATATCACAACCCGTTGACGCAAACGAGTGTTACCAAAGTTAGCATGATATATGCGTTGAATAATTTCTGTTTTTACAGTTCCATTAGCAAACTTGTTGTGCACTATTCGTACAATCTATAACAATTATACTTTAGTATGCTGCAATAATAGAACCTGAATATTAGGTGTTTTGTATCTTTTATAGATGCTTTTTAATAATATAATTCCTATTATAGACTTATGTATTTTTGTCCTTAAAATAGATAATATACTAGGATTTCATAATATGGGTCTTTGCATCCAGGACCACCCTCTATGATAAATGAGACGAAATCTCTTAGGATTCAATGAATTCACCGTGCAGGTTCCGGGTGCATCGCGTTGTAGGAGAGGAGTTTCAACAGTGCCTTTGACTTGCTACCCATGTGTAGGTTTAAGGGCCCCTATAAAACGTATGTTACATTTACGTTTACATACGCATGTACATTTTACTTATTCAATATTTTGCATTTATGTCATGAAGATTTATATTTATTTAATTGACGTTTATTGCAATATTGAAATTTATGTAATTTCTTTCAAGTCATGAAAAACTCTAGGATCACAAAGCAATTATACATGTCTGTTTGAAAACGTAATAGAGTATCGAATACCAATTAAATAAAAGTTTTGCAGTCAATACAAACCAGATATGTAAAATTTTATTTTAATTTAACATTCATTATTATATAACTCATCCTTAGAAATTGTTTGTTTTTTTTCATATTTTTTCCTATTATTCACTGTTGCTTTTTTATCTTTTTGAAGGTGACGACTGGTTTTGGGGTTAATGGATATGATTTGTCATTACAATGTTAATAAATAAATATAATAGATAAATATTTTTGTATACAGTTTTATTATTTGAAGGGGTTAATGTTGAAGGTATTAGAAGCAAGCAAACTAAGCAGATTCTATCGTTTACCTAGAGTAAAATATAAGTTAAAATATAATAAAATTTAAATATTATAATCGTTAACAAATAAAATACATTTTAATGTGTGTAGGCAATTCATAATAACATACCTCTAAACTGTTAAGAAACAATTTTATTCATATTAATCTGAAAATAACAAAGGAATTGGTGTTTCCTAAAATTGTATGTACTTACGGAAAGCTTTTAGCAAAATTGATGATTTTTAGCACCGAAATATAATAAAATTAGAAATAGAATACTTGAAAAGTGCGTTAGGATTTTCGTCAAATTAATACCTGAAAGTGTTTTATTCAATATTTTTGTAAAGTCGGAAACACGTACACATATATTATTTTTAATAAAAATATCCATATAGATTTAAATTTAATGATATTCTGTTCATCTCGGTTTGTATGGTCGCATTTATATATTTATACTAGCTTTCCGCCCGCAGCTTCGCCGCGTGGAGTTCGGTTATATCGCGTTTCCAAGAGAACCTTTCAAAAGTCTGGGATAAAAACTATCCTATGTTCTTTCTCAAGGTCAACTCTATCTCTGTACCGAATTTCATTAAAATCAGTTCAGTGGTTTAGGCGTGAAAGCGTAGCAGACAGACAGACAGACAGACAGACAGAGTTACTTTCGCATTTATAATATTAGTAGGGATATTCATTGAGAGTAGCATTTAAGGTAAATACTACTCTCATTATGTATATTTACTTCATCATACGTGCTAGCATTTATAAATGATTTGCTATGCTATTTAACTCGAATGTACCATTAAAAAAAATTAAGATATTCCAGGGGAATGAAAACACCTTTTCACAATAACTCTAAAAATTCTAAAGAAATGTAAAGTAAGACATGTTAATTAGACTGCAGATGTTTGCCGAATTTCGCTGAGGACTTTCAGACGTTTCTGCATGATTCAAATCCAAATGAACCTTTTAAGCTTAAGCTTACATCTAGAGTAAGCATAACTCACAAGAATATTACATAAATGCTTACCGACTTTAATCAAGTAAGGAACATTGTGTTTTTAATTACTTTGTAAGTTCTCTGATTTCTTAAGTTGTTTTATGTATATGAGTAACAAGAAATGAGGGAAGCGATAAATTATGACTTAATATCATTCTTGCCAACTCTGGGAGGAGTCGAGAGTTAATTATTTTGTAACTGAGTTTGTAAACTAACTTCATCAAGTAATAAACAAAGATATGAACACTGTCATTAAGCTTGCATAACAAGTGCTTCACTTTACAAGGGTTGGAAGAACGAAAATTTTATATGTTTTGTTAACTATATTTTTTAATTTTTCTTCTAAAACAGAAGACTTTGTAAGGATCTGTTTCAATCGATATCATGAATTGCCAAAGATTTGAGTAAAAGTAAAATGAACATTAATGTTCAATTTGTAACCAGTATCATCCCAATTTCTGCTTGGAAAGTTTTATATCTTAACTCAAATCTTATAAAAATTTAAAATATTATGTAAAACTGTTCAGCCTATGTGCCTGTGTTACCCACTTTATCTTAGGCTATGGCTACATGTAAAAAATGGATAAATTATATAATTAAATATATTAAAGTAAATTGCAAAATATTTTTCAACAATCTATTTAATTGGATTGATGTATTATTGCCTCAAAAAAATCGAAAAAATACTTAAGAAGAAGCAACGTGTAAAATTACTCGTTGAAAACGTTTGAAAACAAACCCGTTTTGTTTTTGGGCTTAATTTTTCTGAACAATATTCTTAACATACTGTTAAGCTTCTTTATCAACAATGGCTATCCCTTTTGAATCATTAGTATTCATTATTTTAATGGCGGCCGCCGGGCAGACGGCCTACCTGATGGAAGCTAGTCACCGTCGCCCATGGTCATCTGCAATATGCCTTATATTGCAGATGCGGTTGCGACCTTGATTGTGGGAGAGGTGAGGATAGGGCAAAGGCAAACGGCCCTCTCACTTATCGGATGAAACACAGACAATAAAGACTACTTCACGCCAATCTTCTGTGAGAGGGTGGTACTTCCCCGGTTGGGCCAGCCCATGTTCGAGCTGTAGTTACTTGATGACAACTTGAGTCTACACACAAGTAGATCATGATTGAGACTCACCGACATATTATAGGTTGTTTCAGGAGAAGGACACTAAAATAAAGAAATATTATAGAATTTTGGATACCGGTAATTCATAGAAAAACTTTTTTGTTTTCTATTTCCACTGCATTTTTTTTTCAAGTTTATGGAATTTCAGTTTATGGACTTACGTAATATGAAACGGAAGCCACACAAATATAAATATATATTCATATACATATAAATCGAAGAAATGAAACCGATTACACTGATTTTTATATGGATCATTTGCCTAACTCTCTTATATTGACTAAAATGAACTATTGAACTTCTAAAAATAAAAAAATATTGCAGAGTCTAAAAAAAAACCGTGACGTCATAATAATAGTTTATATTATTTCATGTCATCCATTTAAGAATTACAATTTTTAATCCCAGAATCTTGTCTGCATCATAGTCACTTTTAAATTTTTATGTAAACTTTGCTGTGGTGAAATTCCTAATGATACTCAAATAAATACATACAATTAATCTTCTTTTTAATTAAGTTATTTAATAAGTACAATTGATGAAATTATAAAAATATTTTTTTGTATATATTCGCAATAAAACACTACACTGATTATAAAAATGATGGTCAGTTTATTCATGAATCATAATCAATTTAATTTTAAAGTTGAATGAAGGCGCTCATCTGGAACGTTTAGATAAAAGTTAG